TGATTCTCTTTTCTGTTTTAAATGCACATATTTCCTATTCTCCTCCTGACTTCCAAGCACACTTGAAAGCCCTTATACCCAAAACAGATTTCAGAATCAGAATCAGCTTTATTGGCCATGTGTGTTGGACACACAAGGAATTTGACTCTGGTACAGCAGCTCTCAATGTGTATGTACATGTCCTTATGTAAGGCAGCAGTGGGCAAGTAAACAATGTAAGAGAAGTAAATAAGTAATGTGCAATCAAGCAAAGGAATGTGCATTAGATTTCTTGTGTATTTAAACACATTAAATATGATTCTGATTCTACAATGTGAATTTTTATAACATTTTATTTTTTGAAATTCAAAATTCTGTAATAAATAAAATCCAAACCTTGGAATTTTAACATTAAGGCTCACTTTTAACTAACATTATGCTGGTGTGGTAGAGGTCTGCTGCAACAAGTGCTCTTGTTAGCTTTAAGTAGGCTATAGCTATTATAGCCAATGTTAGTTGTAACTAACATCAGCAGTGCACAGCCACTTATCAGAGACTTTTTGTGGGATCCCACACAGTAATGTTAGACACTGTGTGGAAGGGAGCTAATAAATTGTAGTACTGCCTGGAGCAGAAAAATGCGACTAGAGTGAAAGAGATGGCCTGAGAACTACTGGTATGACACTAAAGTTGGCATCTGATTCAACAGTTAAGGGAGACGTTACAATACAGAGAGACATTTTCTCTGTTTTTACACCTCTGAATGTTGCGAAAGTGTAACCCATGTAATTTTGGTGGTATGTGTACTTTTTCCTTTTTTTATTTTGTTTTTTCCCCTGTCTGTTTTTTTTGTCCAGTAAACGTAATATTATTCACTAAGTATTGTTTCCCATGGATCGTAAAGGCACCATAGCATAGGGGAGCGGCATCCTTCGATTTCCAGGGGAAGGAAAAAAAAGAGAGAACTTTTTCTTTCCACTCTCCGGGGGCGAATGTGAGCTCTAAGGAATACTGTTTGAGCTTCGAAAATATTGTTCCTGAGCACAAAAGTGTAATCGTTAAGTCCAGTGATGTGAAAAAACTATGGAAGCCCATTCCCGCCAGGTAAATGAGAAATAAAATGCTCTAAGTCGTTATTTCTACTTAACTAAGTCGTTATTTCTACTTAGCTAAGTAGAAATTCCGACTTAGATATGTCGGAATTCCTACTTACACTTCCCTAAGTCTAAATTTCGACTTAGCTAAGTAGAAATAACTAAATAGCTAAATCGAAATTCCGACTTATCTATGTCGAAATTCCTACATAGCTCAAAGTATCTTGACGTAAGCCTGTCAACCGGAAGTAGTTATTCTTCTTCCTGTTTTGTCACGGAGACTGAGAGCTAACGCTACAGCACCTTTCACACCACACAGTTCAGATGGATGGAATAATTGAAGATTATTTCAGGCGTGGGTCCGTTTTGAGTGAATTCCAATGGCT